CAAGTGGTTGAGAGACTCTGTGAATGCAAAGGAGATAGTCAGTGTGCGGAAAACCTTAAATGGACTCCAGAGCATATTTTGAAGGAAAAAACTCCTCCAGGAGTAAAACCATGTGAAAGTCCTGTGTGTGGAGAAGTGACCATTGGTCATTCATCCCTAAAGGTGCCCCTGAGAGGTCCCACTGAACGCGAACCATGTGAGCATCAGGAATATGGAGAGAGGCCATATAATCAGAAGGAGTGTGAGAAATCCTTCAGCTATTCTCAGTGTTTGCAGACTCATGAAAGGACTCACAGTGGAGAGAGACCCTGTGACAAAAAATGTGATGAAGCCTTTAGGTGTTCCAGTCCTGTTGGAAATCACAAAAGGACTCACACTGGTGAGAAGCCCTATAAATGTAAGCAATGTGGGAAAACCTTTGCTCGTTCTAGTATCCTTGTAGAGCATGAAAGAATTCACACCGGAGAGAAACCATTTGAGTGTAAGAGTTGCGGCAAAAGATTTACTCGTTCTAGTTCCCTTTACACACATGAAAGAATTCACACTGGAGAGAAACCCTTTGTTTGTAAGCAATGCAGTAAAGCCTTCTGTGATCAGAGTTCCCTTCGGTACCATGAAAGAATTCACAGGGGAGAGAAGCCATATGTATGTAAGCAATGTGGGAAAGCCTTTGCTTGTTCTGGTACCTTTCGAAAACATGAAAGAATTCACAAAGAAGGAAAACCCTACAAATGTCTGCACTGTGTGAAAGCCTTCCGTTCTGACAGTGCCTTTCGAAAACATAAGAGAGTGCATACCGGAGAGAAACTCTATGTATGTCCGCATTGTGGTAAAGGCTTTGTTTATTCCATTTCTTTTAAGTACCATGTAAAGACACACAATCGAGAGAGAGAAAAGAAACCCTATGAATGCAAGCAGTGTGGTAAAACGTTCTATAGTGCCAGTTACCTGAAAGAACATGAGAACATTCACAGTGGAAAGAAACCTTTTGAATGTAAGCAGTGTGGTAAAGCCTTCCATAATTCCACTTCCTTCCGAAGACATAACAAATTGCACACTGGAGAAAAGCCACATGTATGTGAGCAATGTGGGAAAACCTTTGCTTTTTCTAGTTCCTTTCGGAGACATAACAAAGTTCACACTGGAGAAAAACCACATGTATGTGAGCAGTGTGGGAGAGCCTTTGCTTGTTCTGGTTCCCTTCGGAGACATAACAAAGTTCACACTGGAGAAAAACCACATGTATGTGAGCAGTGTGGGAGAGCCTTTGCTTGTTCTGGTTCCCTTCAGAGACATAAAAGAACTCACACAGGAGAGAAACCCTATAGATGTATGCACTGTGGAAAAGCCTTCAGTTCTGACAGTGCCTTTCGGAGACATAAAAGAGCTCACACAGGAGAGAAACCCTATAGATGTATGCACTGTGGAAAAGCCTTCAGTTCTGACAGTGCCTTTCGGAGACATAAAAGAGCTCACACAGGAGAGAAACCCTATAGATGTATGCACTGTGGAAAAGCCTTCCGTTCTGACAGTGCCTTTAGAAGACATAAAAGAGTGCATACTGAAGAGAAACCATATTTTGACAGCATTGCAGCAGAGCCTTCATTTATCCCTCTTCATTTAAATACCACGTAAGAGAAACCTTATGTATATGAGCAATGTGGGAAAACCTTCCTTATTTTGAATTATTTTATAGCACATGAACAAGCTCACAGGGGCAAATCCTATGTGTGTAAGCAGTGTGAGAAAATCTTGTTTCTCAGTTCCCTTCAAATACATGAAAAGATTATACACTGGAGAGAGACCCTACGTTTTTGAGCAGTGTGGGAAAGCATTCCGTTGTTCCATTGCCCTGAGAACCCATAAAAAAACGCACAGTGCAGCGAACCTGTACGAACTCAAGCAGTGTGGTAAAGCATTTGGTGATCCCAGTTCCCCGAAAACATGAAAAAAATTTACAGTGGAGAGAAACCCTATGCATAAAAGTCTCCATTTGGCTCACACATGTGGATGCACACTGAATCAAACCTTGTCATTGTGAAGAAAAAAAATAAAACCCAAGAAAGTTATTAGTTGAAACACATTTTCGATTAATGAAAAATTGTCATGTAGTGCAATCTTATGAGTAATATGAAGAACTCGATGCAAAGTAATTTGTGTAAAATACTCCAGAAAATACGCAATCTGAAGGAAATACTACAAGTTATGATAAAGATTGTGTTTATCAGGGGCTCATTCTTGTTGTGGGGGAGTAATGGGAGTTGCATCCAAGGGCACTATACTACTGAGCTACATCCCCAGCCCTTTTTCAGGCAATATAGAGGGTGGAGCATCATACTCCTTACAACCCCACCTACAACTGCTGAGAATATTTTGAACTCCAATGGAAAGAGTTCTTTAAATTTTCATCAAGATTTAAAAATTTTTTTAAAAATTCTTTTTCTCTGTTTAATTATTACCTTGATGGTACATGGACATTTATACAGTTTAAAATTTTTCTTCTAGTATTTTTGAAGCCAGTTTTTTTTTTCATGGATTAGGTTTTTTGTTAAACAGGATGCTTGATTAGTATATTTTAGTATTGTTTTGTATTTATTTTTAATTTTGAAAGTTTTTACTTTACATATTTTTTTCTTCTACCTGTTTCCCTTGATTCTCTTCTGCTAGCAGCCAATCTCTATTCTCTTTCACGCTTCCTTTAATTTTTTACTTCTCTCCTCCCTCATAATCTCACATCCTATCATTTCTGTTTTCTCTGTCCACCATTTGAAAGTATAAACCCTTTTGCAAGCTGGTTGTTATTATTGTAGGCAATAACTGATCATATAATTTCTGTTTATTATGATAATTTGTAGACATCATAGTAGAAATATTTGGTTTAATGCTATATATTGTTTGTATTGGTTATTGTTAATTATTTGTCTACCCTTTGAGGTATGTTAAACCTTCAGAGACACTATAAGTCCACAGATAGAAACTCTGCTGCCTCAGATCCATATTGTTAGATGGGTAGACATACAAACAACATGAAAAATCATCACCTCAAGCAAACTAAGATACTTCAATAACAGAATCCATTGACACCACAGTGGAAGAAATGTTAGAGGAGTGAATATCAGAGAAAATACAGAAAGTAAAAGGTCACTTCAATAGAGAGGGGCAGAGATTGGGGGGGGAGAACTCTTTGAAATGAAAGAATCAATAAACCAAATTAAACATTCAATGGAAAGCATCACCAATAGACGAGATCACTTGGAAGACAAAACCTCAGGCAATGAAGACAAAATATATAACCTTAAAAATAAAGTCAACCATAGTGAGAAGATGTTAAAATATAAACAGAACTTTCAAGAACTATGGGTTAACATGAGAAGACTGAACTTAAAAATTTTTCTTATCAGGATAGATGAAGACGTGGAGATACAAATCAAAGGAATGCACAATCTCTTCAATGAAATAACAGAAAATTTCCCAAACCTAAAGAATGAAATGGAAAATCAAATACAAGAGGCATACAGGATCCCAAATGCACAAAATTACAACAGACCCATACCAAGGCACATTATAATGGAAATGCCTAACATACAGAATAAAGATAGAATTTTAAAGCTGAAAGAGAAAACTATAAGATTACTTATAGGAGGAAACCAATTTAGATCTCAGGTGATTTCTCAACCCAGATCCTCAAAGCTAGGAGTTCCTGGAATAACATACCAAACTCAAAGAAAATGGGTGCCAACCAAGAACCCAAATCCAGCAAAATTAAGCTTCAGATTTGAAGATGAAATAAAAACTTTCCATGATAAACAAAAGAAAAGGAATTTGAAACTAGAAAGCCTGCACTACAGAACATTCTTACCAAAACATACCATAAAGATGAAATGAGAAAAGTGAAAACCAGCTCGTTTTTGTAGGAACTACACTAAAAGAATAGTCAAATGAGAAACTAATGCAAGTTAAAAACTAGAAATAGGTGCTAGAGTTGTGGCTCAGTGGTAGAATGCTTGCCCCACATGCGTGGGGGCACTGGGTTTGATCTTCAGCACCACATAAAGGTATTGTGTTCATCTACTCATCTACTACTTAAATTCTTTTTTTAGAGAATTTTTTTTTTTTAATATTTTTTAGTTATCAGCGGACACAACATCTTTGTTTGTGGTGCTGAGGATCGAACCTGGGCTGCACGCATGCCAGGCAAGCTCGCTACCGCTTGAGCCACATCCCCAGCCCCCTACTAAAAAATTTTAAAAAGTTAATCAGAAGGGACAAGGATATTCCATACTGCTTAAGGGAATTACCCATCAATAAGATAACAGTCATAAATATTTATGCCCCAAACAATGGAGCATCTACACACATCAGTCAAACCCTTCTCAATTTCAAGAATCAAATAGACCACAATTCAATAATACTGGGTAACTTTAACATGCTTCTGTGACCACTGGATAGATGCTCCAAACAAAAACTAAAGCCAAAGAACTAAAAAATACAATCGACAATGTGGACTTGGACTGAATACACTTTCTTAGCCAATGGAGCCTTGTGTAATGTAGACCATGTTATGTAATCTACCACATATGTTCACATACAATTGTAATATTAATATATTTTTAGCATCTGAAGGATTAATTTTATAGCTCTCTTTCCATTTATATTTTTGTGTTCTTGCTTTTTTCTTGATTAGATTTGTTTATTAAATTTAAGCTGTTATTTTTCTTATTTCATATGATTGATTTCTAATGCATTAAATCACACAGGAAACCCAGTCCTCATGATTTCAATTTTTTAAAAAAAGTAATGGAAATGCTTTTGTATTAATTATATTGGTTACATACATGGTGAAACTGATCAAATTGCATACTTCAAATATGTGCATTTTATTGTATTTCAACTTTAATAGTTATGGGAAAAAAATTGAGACAGGCTGTCTCAAAGTTGCCCAGGCTGGCCTTGAGTTTGTGATTGTCCTGCCTTAGCTTCCCAAATGGAGATTATAGGCATGCACTGCTGCACCCAGCTAATCAGCTAAAGTAGACGCCACTGTGATGTCCCCCTGAAAACACCAAATGAAGCAGGGAAGCTTCAAGGTCATTTATCAAAATAATTAAATGAGCAACAGACAGCTTTCATTTTGAGTAGCGTGCAGAAGGGGGGTGTGACTGACATACTCAACATGGGACGGGCCCAAGGACACCACCTGTCCTTAACAGTGTCAACAGAAGCACAGGACACGGGCAAGGTTAAAAAAAAAAATGAGAATCCCTACTCAGTATAAATTAACTCGAGTTGAGAAATATGATTTGTCCAGGAGAGAACATGCCACTCAGTCCTTTGCCATCAAATGTTCATACCTAGCTCTCATATACAGCAGTACAACACTTAAAAGTACTTAGGGCTGTGCACAGTGGCACACACCTGTAATCCCAGTATCTCAGGAGGCTAAGGTAGGAGGATTGCAAGTTCAAAGCCAACCTCAGCAACATGAGGCCCTGAGCAACTTGGTGAGGCCCTGCCTCAAAATATAAATAAATAGATAAATAAATAGGGCTATGGGTGTGGCCCAATGGTAAGTGCCCATTGGGCCCATTATTGGGTTTAACCCCCAATACTAGAAAAATAATTAATTAAAATATCTTTGGGGCACAGCTGAGTGGTATGTGCTGCCTGGTATACACAATGTCCTGAGTTCAACCCCTAGTAATACAAAAAGAAGAAAAGAAAAAGTAATTGCACAACTTTTAATAAGGTATAGTATATATTTTCTCTTAATTCCCTATGTCTCCCTGAGTAAAGGGCCCCTGGTTCGAAAGAGAGGGAAGGAGGGAGGAGGAAAGGAAGGAAGGAAAGGCCGTCATCCCCATTTCTAGGAAGGAAGGAAGGAAAGGAAAAGGGAAAGGAAAGGCCGTCATCCCCATTTCTCTCCCAGGCCCTGCCTGCCACCTCCAAGCCTCCTTGCCCGGGCAGTCCCTGTTTTACTTTGTACCCTACCTGCCCATTTAAAAAGCATTTGTTGAAATCTATTGGATCTTTTGAAATGACGGAGCCTTTGATCCCTCCCTGCCTCAGCCACCCACCAACACTCTGGGCGCCACTGTTCCACTGTCCACTTTGATGCGACCAACTCCACATGTTCGGGAGATGGAGGGATCGGGCAGTGTCTTTCTGTGTCTGGCCTGCTCCACTTCATAGAGGTCCTTCAGGTTCATCCACGTTGCCATAAAATAGCAAGGTTTTCTTTTATGGCTGAATAGTATTCCGTCATGTCCATGGGCCACATTCTCCTTACCCATCTGCTCACTGCTGCACACTTAGATGGACCTGTAACGTGGCCATCCTGAAAGGTGCGGTACACACAGAGCGTGTGGCTCTTCAACAGACCGACTTCATGGCCTTTGGATGTACGTGCAGCCGTGGGATTGCTGGATCATGCAGGGGTCCTGTTTTTAATATTCAAAGAATATCCATAATGTTCTCCATAATGTCTATATAATACTGGACATTTTCACCAACAGTGTGTAAGGGTCCCCCTTCTCCACAGCATTAGTGACTGATTGATTCTTTGATAATAGCCATTCTAACGGTGTGAGGTGATATCGTGGTTTTGATTTGCATTTCATTTGAATGTTTTTTTTCTTTTGGGAAATGTTTATTCAGGTTATTTGTACGTGTGAGTGTGTGTGTGTGTGTGTGTGTTGCTGGGGATTGAATCCAGGGCTGCACACATGCTAGGCAAGCATACCACCACTGAGTTACATAGCCAACTCTTTTGCATATTTTTATTGGATTATTTGTTTCCTTGCTATTTAATTGTTTGAGTTCCTTATATATTTTGGAAATTAATATCAGATGTATAGTATAAAAATATCTCCTCCCATTCTGGAGGTTATCTGTTGCTTCTGTTGATTGTTTCCTTTGCGCTCTACAGAGCATTTTAGTTCGATGTTACCCCTTTGGCTTATTTTTCCTTTTGTTGACTTTTGGAGTCATGGCCCCCCAGAATCATTGCCCAAAACAGTGTGATGCCGCTTTTCCCCTATGTCTTCCTCTAATAGTTTCAAGTCATATTTTAAGTCTTTTTTAAAAAATCATTTTAAAGTACACAATTCAGTGACACTTAGTACATTCACAATATTGTACAAATGTCACCACCATCTGGTTTTAGAACATTGTCAAAGTTTAGACCATTCAATTTTAGAATATTGTCTGGTTTTAGAACATTGTCATATTTTAAGTCTTTTTAATGGATTATGAGTTGATTTTTGTGTGTGGTGAGAGGAAGGGGTTTAATTTCATTCTGCAGATGGATATCCAGTTTCCCCAGTGCCATTTTCTAAGAGATATTGCTTTCTACATCATGCAGCCTTATCCTCTTTGTTGAAAATCAGTTAGCGAGGAAGGTGTGGATTTTTCTGGGCGGTTTATTCTGTTCACCTGGGCTGTGTGTCTGCGTTTTGCTGGGGCCAGGTTTGAAGTCAGGCAGTGGGATGCCTCCAGCTTTGTTCTCGTCCCTCAAGATCACTTTGTCTATTCAAGGTCTTTTGTGGTTCCATATAAATTTTAGAATTGTTTCTTCCATTTCTGTTAAGAAAGTCTTTGGTAGGGATGACACTGACCCTGTAATATGGATATTTTAATGATGTTAATTCTTCCATTGTGTGAGCATGAGATACATTTTCATATATTTGAGTCTTATTAAATTTCTTTCATCATTGTCAAAAAACACCCCATTTACTCATAAAAGCAACAGTATATCTCCCATGTTATAGTTTTGGCCCCTAAACTTGTAGTATAAAAGTATCGGAAGAACCCCATAGAAATATATCTGATAAGAAAAGTATAAAGACAGAGAGGCAGAAGGACAACACAATGGTACACAAAATTAGCATTTAGAGACTCAAAAAGAAAATGCTTACAAATCAATAAGAACCAGACAACCTAACAGAAAAATGAAGAAATGTTTTGAACACGGTTTTTGCAAAAGAGGATATCCATATGAGTTAAAGGAGACTTTCAGATATGAAAATATGTTCAACATCTCTAGCAATTAGAGAAATACAAATTAAAATTACACTGAGATTTCATCTCACTCCTGTCAAAATGGCAATTATCAAGAATACAAGTAATAGTAAATGTTGATGAGAATGTGGGGCAAAACATACCCTCATACATTGCTGGTGGGACTGCAGTTGGTACAACCACTCTGGAAAGCCTCGGAAAACTTGGTATGGAGCCACCATTTGACCCAGTTATCCCATTCTTCAGCATATACCCAAAAGACCAAAATCAGCACACAATAGTGACACAGCCACATCAATATTTATAGCAGCTCAATTCATAATAGCTAACCTATGGAACCGACCAAAGTGCCATCCAATAGGTGAATGGATAAAGAAAATGTGGTACATGTACACAATGGAATATTGCTCAGCCATAAAGAAGAATGACATTATGGCATTTGCAGGTAAATGGATGCACCCGGAGACAATCATGCTAAGTGAAATAAGCCAATCCCAAAAAACCAAAGACCAAATGTCCTGATATATGGATGTTAACACACAGTAAGTAGGTGTATATGTGTGACAGGGAGAGAATAGAAATTCATTGGATTAGACAGAGGGGAATGAAGGGAAGGGATGGGGGATAGAAATAGGAAAGAGTAGTAGGATGAATGGGACATAACTTTTGTATGTTCATGTATGAATACATGACCAGTGTAACTCCACATCATGTACAATCACAAGAATGGGATCCTAATTAGAATAAGTTATACTCATGTATGTATAACATGTCCAAATACATTCTACTGTGATGTATAACTAAGAAGAGCAAATGATTTTTTTTTAAA